GTTCAGGTGTTGACGCAGACCAGTCCTGAAGCAACAACTTGCATCTAGAGGGAGAGAAGCGCATCCCAAACATTCTGGCATTGTTGCTCAGTGCTACCAGAAGACTCTGCATTTTGTCAGCCTCTTCACCAAACAGGACTATATCATCTGCGTATTCTAAGTCGATAAGTGGACCTCCTGGAAGGAGATCAATACCCGAGAATTCAGTCGACGAGAGTGTTATTTCCATCAATAGGTCTATGATGAAGTTAAACAAAAATGGAGAAAGTGGACAGCCTTGACGGACACCATTTGAAGTTGCAAAAGTAGATGACAGTTCGCCATAAGCTCTGACTCGACTAGTAGTGTTCGAGTAAAGAGCCTTCACAAGGTTTATGTACTTCTGAGGTACGCCTTTCAATGAGAGACACTGCCACAGAGTCTCGCGGTCTACAGAGTCAAACGCTGCTTTTAAGTCAAGAAAGACCACCATCGTCGGACGCCGATAGGTATGCCTGTGTTCTAGAACCTGACGAATGGTGAATATGTGGTCGATGCAGCCACGACCAGGTCTAAAGCCAGCTTGGTTCTCTCGAGTTTGTAGTTCACGAGTCTTAGTTAGGCGTCTGATAATTATCGAGGCTAGTATTTTAGATACTATGTTTGTTAAACTTATCCCTCTGTGGTTGTCACAGGATGATTTTGACCCTTTCTTATATATTGGGACGATAAGTGATTGCGACCAGTCAGATGGGATAAAGTCTAATTCCCAGATCTTAGCTAAAATATTAGTCAACCTAATCGCTAAAATTGGACCACCATCCTTAAAGACCTCTGGAGCCAATCCATCTGGACCAGCTGCCCTTCCTCGTTTCAGATTAACTATAGCCTTTTGAACTTCAGCAAGAGTTGGGGGACCTACTTCAGTGTTCCATTCACATTGTCTGGGAATGGAGGGTAGTTGTAGAGTAGCTGAAGGCCAGCTGAACTGTTCTGTAAAATGTTCCGCCCATCGTTCTAAACGTCTGGACTGGGAGCAGATGAGAGTATCATCTTTTTCCGAAATAATCTCACTTACACTTGACTTATTAATTCCAGTTTCTTTTATTAGTCTGTAAAGCTGTCTTATGTTCCCTATAGTCGCCGCCTTTTCCATCTCTTTTGCTTTCGTTACCCACCACTGCTCACGGTCGTTCCTTAGACTTTTTCTTAACCTAGATCTGATTTGTTTTCGCTCTTCATCATGTTCAGAACCTGATGGGACGAGTTTGCGAGAATCCATCAGTGTGACAGACCTTGAAGAAATCCACTGATTCCTTGCAACTCTGTGGTTTAAGTCACTAATAGATGTCACTGCTGTTTCCACAGCTGATTGTATGCCCTTCCAAGCAACATCTGGGTCAGCCTCGTCTTCACAACTACCTAAGTGTGACCTCAGTTGTTCCTGGAACCTACTTTTGGTTTTCTCGTTACTCAACTCAGTTCTAACGGGTCTTTTTACTGTGGCTTTTTTGCGTCCAGTGAGGCGCAAGCAGATGCGTGCCCGTATTAGGGCGTGGTCGGAGTCCAAGCAGGTACTCCAGAATGAGCGACAATTTTCTACCGACCCTCTCCAACGATGACTGATGGCAATATGGTCTATTTGAGTCCATCGTTGGTTTGGTGTAGGGGGTCGCCATGTTAGACGATGTCTCTCCTTATGCTTAAAATTTGTTTGCTAAAAATAAACGATTGTCTGAGCATAGCTGCAGCAGGCGATCACCATTATCTGTTCGCTGTGTCGGAATACTAAAATATCCACCTAAATGCCTTTCTGTTTGGTTTAAGCTTCCTATCTGAGCATTAAAATCACCTGCTACGAGTACTATGTCTGAGCGTTTAGCTTTCTGAAGAAGTTCGGACAGCTTTCTGTAAAATTCATCTTTCACTTCATCTGAGCTGCAGTCGGTGGGAGAGTAGACAGAAACGACAAAAAGGCAACGACGTGTGTCCCTATCCTTCCGAGTTCTTACGTAGCCGTTCAGCCGAACAGCACATAGACGACTGTTGACGGGGATCCACTCTAGCAGTGCTTGTTCGGCCCTCATGCTTAGTGCTATGCCTACACCTGCCAGTCCACGAGAACTGGCCATCGGGTCACCAGAAACACGAAGGGTGTATCTCGTTGGCTCTCCGTTTTGCCGAGGTGAGGTCAAGTGAATGACCACACTGGGATCCTGTATGCGTGTTTCGGAGACACAGCATATATCAATGGAAAGAGACTCTAGGGTTTTAGCCAAGGAAGCCTGCTGACCGATTTGACATAGAGTGCGTACGTTGAAAGCTCCAATGTGTAGTTTGGAGCGAGGTTTCAGTAGACCTGGGACAGAGTTTCGAGCACTCGAATCGTTGGCTATGGTGACACTTGAGGAGGAAGTTTAGGGTTGAAAGTCGATGTAGGAGGAATAATAGGAATTGAAGAGGAAGGTTGATTATGAATACAGTGGTCTTGGGTGCTGTTAGAGGTATGAGGGCGGTTATCACTTCACGGTTGCCCACACCGTGGAAGGGTTCTTCTGGAGGTACCTGAAAAGGAAATTGGATTAGAGGTGGTCTCAGTGACCTGAGAGCGTGACCGCAGTGCCCAAGGGACAACTGCTTGAGGCCGGTCGCGCACGGCCTTTTTGTGGAAGGTTTTCGACGTGTTAGCTCCGTTCTTCAAAGGGTCTTACCGCCGGAGACGGAAATCCGTGAGGTAAGGTGAGGTGTGCATTTTTAGGGTCGACCTTTTCTAACCCCACCCCTCCTTGTGGGAAGGCAGCATCGCTGTCATGCTGGTTGTCTGAAGGAAACACCTTACTGCTGTCACACCTCTGTACAGTCAGCAGTACGACTTCGCCTTCGGACCTTGGGTTTGTTGCTTTTAGTCTTACCGCTCTTCAACCGACCTGTCTGACATGGTAGGACCTTGAGGAACGGTTGTTCCAGCCAGTATAGCTCGGTTGCTTCATCACGATAGGCAAGCCCGACCACCACGTCAAGGTAGCAACAACGGTCGGAAGAATAACACATAACAGTAAACAAATAGTGTAAGTAATTGAATTAAAACTATTTTACACTGAAATCTACGTCTTATATCAACAGAGGGATATATACATACGAAAAATAGAATTATTAAAAGCGGGTTTTGTGGAAATTTTTAGTACTTTTATAGTTGACTTCATGAGTCAATTAAAGCTAGATCATGGAAAACCTGGAAGCACTGGAAGGCCGTTTCGTCCTAGCACAGGACTCCTCAGCGGTGCACATCCACGATTCCGCTCGTGGGAGTCGAACCCAGGATCTATCGGTCTCGCGCGCGAACGCTTAACCTCTAAACTAATGAAACGGCATCCAAAGATATTAGTATATAGCCTCAACCAATTCCCGAAATTGTGTCACCGTCCACCATTGTTTCCAGTGAGTTACTATCTCACAACAGACCTGGTTAGACTCCACTGGTCATGGCTTCTCATCAGCACTCTAGGAAATACCTCTTGAAGCCAGTCACTAGTGAGCACATGATGATTATTATCAGAAGGGGTCGCATGCCGGCTTAGTGGTCTAGAGGTTAAGCGTTCACGCGTGAGACCGATAGATCCTGGGTTCAAATCCCACGGGAGGAATTATGGATGCGCACTGCTAAGGAGTCTCGTAACAGAACGAAGCAGCCGTTCGGTGCTTCCAGATTTTCGATGATCTAGCTTTAATTGACTCATGAATTCGACTATAAAAAAATAGGATGTCGAAAGTATTAGATGATAACGGTACTATATTTCTGGTTCATCGTGCTCCTTCAATTATATCACACACAAGAAAATCATATGAACCACACATGACTCTTCATTCTTCTGTTGGTCCATTCTCAGTCCTTAGCAATTCTTTTATATTATTCATTATCAACCACTATATATGTACTTGTTACGTTCCGATAAGCATAATGAATGGTAATTTTGGGATCTATTTATGGACCAATAGTAAACGTATATTTTTATTGTATAATTGTTAAATAACTAAACTATTCATATTCACATTCCTCTTATTATAAGCTTTATTTTGGCCTAAGAACCATTATTATAAGTTTTACCATTCTTGAATTATGCCCTGTCTATTAGTCACTGCCTCCCATATTCACAGCGACGTTCGGCCAAGTTTTGTACAAATGTTATTTTCTATTTTATGCCACGTTGTGGTCTGTTTGATTGGTATACAAACTCAGTATGTTTGAAATATAATGATTCATATCGCAGAGGCTAGGATTGGTGTTCTGGACTTAATTGGCTGGGCTAAGCGGAAAACAGGACCAATCAGGACTCTAGGCTGCTCGTACGGGTTTTACGCATCATTAATTCGATTGATAAGTCACTGCTCCCTAATTGGCAATATCAGGGCACACAGGTTACAGGTCATAACAATACTTACTTACTTACGCCTGTTACTCCCAATGGAGCATAGGCCGACGACCAGCATTCTCCAACCCACTCTGTCCTCAGCCTTCCTTTCTAGTTCTATACAACTGTTGTTCATTCTTCTCATGTCTGTCTCCATTTCTCGGAGTGATGTGTTATTTGGTCTTCCCATCCTCCTTTGGTACTGAGGACTCCAAGTGAGGGCTTGCCTTGTGACGTAGTTGAGTGTTTTCCTCCATGTGTCCTATCCATTTCCAGAGCTTCTTCTTGATTTCTTCCTCCGCTGGGATATGTTTCGTTCTCTCCCACAGTAGATTTTTACTGAAGTGTCTGACCAACGGATCCAAAACCACTATATATATATATATATATATATATATATATATATATATATATATATATATTCAGAGCAGCTAAAGCCCTAGAAGTATCTAACGATTATACTAGCAACTTACTGAATTTGTAAAAAATTTCTTTTCTAATACTTCTCAAAATGTTAACCAAACAAAGATAAAATTGTATTAACTTACTATAAAAGTAGCGGGGGTAATCATAGCTCAGAACGCCGGAACATTTGAACCAGATATTAATCATCTAAGACTTTTCATCATTTTGACTGGAAATTAAGGAACGATAGTCTAACATTTCTATTAATTGTTGGATTTCTTTGACAGCATCTCGCCGCATGGCTCTAACATCTTCATTTCCATCACTTTTTAAGGTATCCAAACTTAGTATCAACTGTTCCAAGTTTTCCATAAGATGTTTGTATTCCTTACTCTGAGGTGCACCTTTGAATTAACGAATGGTATAAATGAAAGCAGAAATCTTCAGGAATGTTGAAGAAATTGGTAACATTTAACTTTTATAACGCGTCCGATATTAGGGGTTGATTTTAACTTAATTTAACTCAGTAACCAAGTACGGATTTTCATAGTTGATACTGAGTAACACGCTGTTTTAAGAGTTTATGGTACAGACCAACCGATTAAATAGGAATACGTGGAGCCAGTCAGACAAGGTTATCTCAAGTGCTATTAGAGGTATGTGTACAGTTTTACCTTTCAGTTGCTCACATCATGAAATACTTTTTCTTAAAAAACCTAGAATGAAAATTAGATTGGTGGCGAGTTTTCTTTTCTACTTGAGTGTGTGCCCATAGAACACGACAAAGAACAATCCTCTGAAGCTGATACACCCCATTAGAGTGGGTAGTATCAGTGAGTTAAACGCAACGTACGATCTGGTACGCGTGTACATCGATTCAAGTCTCCATACCGGATTAGCACAACCAGATGAAATTTTTAGAGCGAATTTCAGATTATTAGATGGAGCAACAGTATTAGTGGCAATATAAAAGATTAGGTACCAAAAAAACGATTCAAGAAAGTATAATTTGTGAAATAAAAAATCATGAGGAATTTGGAAACCTCGGATCTAGAGGGAGACAAGGAATGGATGCACTTGCACTACGGTAAGCCAGTTTGAGTAACGTCATTCAAAGTCTCTAACCACTGGTTATGATCAGTCAGTCAGCTACAATGTAGGACCAGGCACATATATGCATCTGTCAAAGTTACCACAAATGATTAGCACAACAAGATGAACACCAAATTCATAGTAGTCACTTCAGTGGTAGTAATATATAAAAGAAAGACTGTGTATAACGATATAATACAAGAAAGAATTAGTTCGTATAAAGAAAGGTATAAAGCAAATTTAATCTGACAGTTTAAGGAAAGACAAAGTGTGTACGCACCCACACCATTGTGATAGATTCCGAGACATGTCAGTCACACGGTCTCCAATCTTAGTCACGTAGACCCCAACCAAGTAGTCTGCATCTACTAACGCGGCTCAAACCAGAGGTTATTGACTTCAAGGACTGACGTCACGTTTTGATTTATTTTAACGCATAGATATTGGTACAAGGAGGCACCAAATACATATGCGCCACACAGATCTCGTTTGATATGTGTGAGGGCTTTGATACTGCCCGGATGCCCAAACCGAAACAGGACGTTTTGGTTTGGCCATCCCCGACGTCTTCCATCCGTCTCCAACACTAGTCAGTATTGCACGTCGTGGTAATCAGTGTTCAGGCACGCGTAACACGTGGCCCAACCATCTCGGTAGATGAAGATTTACAACCTCAACTGATTTACCATCATTCCCTAATATCATGCATCTAACCTCACTATTAATTACACGGTGATCCTAGCAGATACAAGCAATATTTCTAAGACATCTATGATCAAATGCTAATAGCTTACGAGTATCTTCTAGTCTTAATGGCCACGTTTTACAGCCGTGAAGTAGGACAGAACGAACTGCTGCGCAGTATACTTGTCTCTTAATTGATAGACGGATATCTCACCTTCGCCATAGGTGACGTACGTTGGCAAAAGCTAAATGAGCTTTTTGAATCTGTTTAGAGATTTCGTCAGACACCAACGCATTAGGGCTGATCAGACTTCCAGGATAAGTGAAGTTGTCGACACGTTTGACTACTTCACTTCCTATCTATAGTTCAGGTGTTGACGCAGGTCGGTCCTGAAGCAACAACTTGCATTTAGAGTGGGAGAAACACATCCCAAACATCCTGATATTGTTGCTCAGTGCAACTAAAAGACTGCATTTTATCAGCGTCTTCACCAAACAGGAATATGCCATCTGCATATTCTAAGTCGATAAGTGGATCTCCCGGAAATAGATCAATTCGTCAAAACTCAGTCGACGAGAACGTTATTTGCATCAGTAGATCTATGATGAAGTTGAACAAAAATGGCGATAGTGGACAGCCTTGCCAGACACCACTTGAGGTTGTAAAACCAGATGACAGTTCGTCATAAGCTCTGACTCGACTGGTAGTCATCGAGCAATAAGCCTTCACAAAGTTTATGTACTTCTGAGGTACTCCTTTTAATGACGAACGCTGCCACAGAACCTCTTGGTCTACAGAGTCGAATGCTGCCTTTAAGTCAAGATAAGCATGTCTGTGTTTTAAAACCTCACGAATGGTGAATATGTGATCGATGCAGCCACGATCAAGTCTGAAGCGAGCCTGATTTCCTCGTGTTTGCAGTTCACGCGTCTCTGTTAGGCGACCGATAATTATTGAGGCTGGCATTTTAGAGGCTACAATAGTCAAACGAACCCCTCTATGGTTATCACAGGATGATTTTAATCCTTTCTTATAAATTGGAACAATCAGTGACTGCGAACAGTCAGATGGGATTTGTAGTGTCAGTCATTATTTTAAGCCCATATACCTTATTCTAGTTTTCGAACAAACCAATCTATTCATTCTACTCGAGTCACATTCTGACCTTGTTAATTATTCGCTTATCACTCTTCACTGTTTTTATATGAGTGCATATGTGTGTACACTTCCCATCCCATTCATCACATGTCTGTAGCTTATTTTTGTCTGCCTATAAATATTGATTAACGCCTGACTAAAAATGAGTTGGCTTACCAGCCATCTCCACTGCGCATCATTTTTACTTGGCTTCACCGTGTGCTTGCTTGCTGTTCGCTTGCGGATTTTTAATCATTAACAATAAATTATCTCTATAACTGGTGTTCAGGCTTCTGAATAATCTCGAGTAAATCTGTAATTCTACTGGGAGATTAAGCCTACCTTAAATACTCAGTTTATGGGATATTATTTATTGGAGTCAGATATTGAGGACATTAGCCTCAACAGATTACGTCCAACCCCCAGATTTGAGTTTAAAAATATTATTCAACCTAATCGCCAAAACTGGACCACCATCCTTAAAGACCTCTGAAGCCAATACATCTGGACCAGCTGCCCTTCCTCGTTTCAGATTAGTCATAGCTTTTTGAACTTTAATGTCCCATTCAAACTGTTTAACAATGGTGGGTAGTTGTAGAGTAGCTGAAGGCCAGCTAAACTGCTCTCTAAAGTGTTCCGCTTATCGTTCTAAAGCTCTGAGCTGAGAGCAAATAAGTGTCGTCTTTTTCTGAGGGCGTATCACTTACACTTAACTTCTTAATTCCAGTTTCTTTTATTAGTCTGAAAAGCTGTCCGATGTTACCTACAGACGCTGCCTTTTCCATCTCTTTTGCTTTCGTTGCCCACCACTGCTCACAGTCGTTCCTTAGACTTTTGGTTAACCTAGATCTGATTTGTTTCCGCTCTTTATCTTGTTCGGATCCTGATCGTATGGGTTTATGAGAGTCTATCAGTGCAATAGACTAAGTAAAAACCAATTGGTTTTTCCGTAACATTTTGGTTTAAATCACTAATGGATGTCACTGCTGTTTCCACAGCTGTTTGTGTATCTTTCCAAGCAACATCTGGGTCAGTCTCGTTTTCAGAACTACCAGAGTGTGACCTCAGTTGTTCCTGGAATCTACTTTTGGCTTTCTCGTCACTGAGTTCAACTCTAATGGGTCTTCTTAATGAGAAGTCACTGATATGCGCCAGACAGGCCAGTTCAAGAGATTAAGCTAATCAGTAACTTAATTGCGAAAAATTACAAATGGGTATCAAGGAATGGATTATATAAGAAGTAACAATATTATGGAGATGAACCAAAAATTATGACATAGAAACAAGAACAATTAAAATAAGAATGCAATTAAGATAGGTGTCATCCAGTTACGCGCGTCTCGTCAAATAAAAAAGGAGAAAGAAAATAAGTGAGATAAGAAGAATATGGAAGGAAATGATATCAAATGAAACGAAGAATTATTTACAATAAATACGGCTCGACAGAAATCAACCAGATGGAAGAAAAGCGTAGCAAAAAATAAGTCCTCAGAATAAATAGTTCTGTATGTTTCCGACATTTCTGCCGACCTCATAAGTTTTACTGGACACATCCTGGCTGAAGACGCTCGGTCACGTAACCGCACTATATCACAAGTGAGTACACTATGCTACATATCCCTTGTAACTACTAGTCAGCTCAGATCAAACGCTTCTAAATATGTCGACAACCTTCCAAATATATATTTATTCATCCTTGACTTCTAATTTGACAGGGTTGGTATCCTTATATTATAAAGATGTTACAGACAAAAGCGTTAGCAAACCCTGAGTATTTGTGGCATCTTTAAAATTAGAATTAAGTTCTGAACCTAGAGAATAAAGAGTTAATGAAAGTACACAATTGTATCCGCTTTTTAGTGTTATCGTTCAACGTCTCCAATCATAATTTACGATTACCAACTCATCACTTAGTCAGTTAACCCAAGTGCATATAAATTAGTAAAACAATAATTGAATGTAAAAATTACATGTGAAATAATATCAGCAGTTGTCAGTCAGCTAAAACGTAGGACCAGGCACATATATGCATCGCCTCAACAGTTGAGATTTAAATGATTTTGTAATCGTGAATTTGTTTATTTCCTTGAGTTTGGGTCAGTTAGACCAACGAAATATTGGATTTACTTAGATGTTAATTGCTGAAATTATTTCAAATGTAATGTCTTCCATATACTTAGCGCCCAATTTCAGCTAAATCGTCCACATTTCGAAGATTAATTACATACGATAATAACCACCGCGTTATATCTTCTACAAATTTAAGAACTGAAGTAATTGGTAATGATTTTCGATGTTTCTTAGATCATAAGTAAAGAATGTAGTCACCGAAAAAAGCATACTGACAGAAATGCCTCGGTCAGTCGGTAATAACCAGCATGGAAGTGTATAGTGAAAGGAGTGGAAAGAGTAAAAATGCCACATTCACTTACCTGATGCACTTAATACAATACTTTTATGTAATTTGAACCCTCATGTGAAAGTGAAGTGCTAAATAAGTACACTCACCATCAAAATAATCAATTTTTGGCTGTATTGAGCGTGCCCTTGACATTACATCTGCGATTTTTTTTTCACAGTTAGAGCCACATGCATCAGAAGAATTCTTAACGTAGAGACTATTAATATTGCGTGTAACCAACTTGTTCCGAAAAATTTGACGGATTCGTTCCGTTTATTGATGAATATTCTTGATTTGTTACAGGATGGTTCCACTGCGTAGACCGAGTGTTATGATCCACAAAATAAAAGTTTCCTGATTTTTCATCAAGTCTCATTTCCCAACCAGGAGGTAGAGGTTCTTTGGGATTCATTTTTGGACTTAGTGAACCCACTAAACTGCAAATTTACCTATATTTGGAGAGTGAACAAGGTTTTAAAAAGTATATCATTTGGTATTGTAAGAGTTTGGATTAATCCTTCAAAGATACGCAAGCATGACGATAGTGGGAATACAGAGTGAGTAGTGATGGTTTTAGGTACACCTTACCATATAACAACGTCTAATAGGTTGACGAAACTTCATCGAGCGAAGTAGTTGAGAACTGTTACGTGGTCCCCGTAGCTTTCTATCCTGACGTCCAAAGATGACCAGAATAAAAACCAATAGGTGACTAGACGAAGATATGACATCAGTCTGTGAAGACACTTACTTCTGACCTGATACATTTGAGGAGGCGCGGACTTCTTGTTCGGAGCCCTCGTGATGAGCAAAATATATGGTTGATGACACCAACAGCTGAGGTGGTGAAAATGAAGTCATTTTCCCCCTCCTAAGTATCGAGTCATAATACTAATTTACACTTCCTACTCTGCAACATGACATTCTTATTAAACTATATTCATTTAAAGATCCTCATCATATTAAAAGACTAACACTAGTCTTTTAAACTATATTCCCTGTTTTATATATTATAAATAATACTACTGTTGTGGTCATTCCCTTGCTTTTAATCTTACCAGTTTACTGTCTATCTTAATTAAAAATGTGATAACTTGGACAAACATCAACCAAGTCAGTTCCTTAGAGAAACATTTAGTTGAATCATTGTACTGCAAAAAAATTGTTTGGAAAATTGGTAGTAATTGGTATCCCTGGATTCTGATCTATCAAATCTGACTTTTCATGAGTTTGACGTTTAGACTAGGTATCGGTAGGTGTTTTACAGGATACCCAAGGGCATTCATAACGCTAAAACCTAGTGGGAACATGACGTTCTAAATCCTCATAATCACATGTTAGTCCTTGGCATCACAAGGGTTTGATATCCAGATTACCCACAAAGTCCTCGTAAGGTGACTCAAAATTCACTTTAGATACCTGCAAAATTATACATGGAATACCTTACACTTTTCAATTCCGCATCGTCAACAAAGGGACTTCTTAACACATCTGAGAGTCAAGAAAGTCTTGGAGTCGAAATTTAAAGGCGAGAGTAAACAAGTTGGGCATGGAGAAAATAATGAAGCTAAATGATGAGTGTTTAGCAAGACATATTTACCAAGCAGTTTGACCTACAGTTCTAATCCCAATTTCTCGATGGTGGAGAAAATTCTATCGACTCTGGCCATATGACTAGATATGGTGGGGCAGGTCGTTTATGTAAATGTGAAGAGCAGTGGCTTTTACACTACCACGTTATATTATATGATACTCAGTTTTTCTTTCTTATTAAGACTATGACAACAAATTCCCAGGTAGAAACACCAACGTGCACGTTGGTACATGTACCAACAGAGACCCGAAAACAGCTAAAAAAATACCCATATAGCTGAACAAAATACCAAAAAGAAACAGATACTAAGCGTAAAATTACTGGGAATTCAAAGGTGTAAGACTGAATTGAATCTGATATCCAAATATTATGCTCGTCAGAGCCAAAAAACCTCGGCAACGCCTCAGGGGTATCGTTCACTGACGGAGGTTGCGAGCACTCGAAGGTCAAACTGTCGCAAAATGATTGGTGCGTCACATCGACAATTCGTGAAAATTTTCAGAAGCGGTCAAATCAAGACATCTTTAGATTTGAATTGAGTTCAGCCACACCATGTCTGATAACGTTCGTTCTTCAAGTAACGAAGACATGCCATCGTGATGATGCATGATGTAGGACGAATCTTCAATGATATTATGTTATCTCGAAGGTTTACAAGTTGGGACAATTTTGAGACGTGTTTGAAAGAAGTACATAAGGTAATATGACTTCTGTGGTTAATAGTTATTTTTTTAGTATACGCATACTAAGTACGTTATGTCAGTATGCAAGAAGAACAGTGATGATTCAACTCTAAAGTACTTTTTCATGAGATATGTCTTTACATATGGACGTACACGCAGTTCGTCAGAGTCAGATGCTTGCCTTCAGGATGTAGATGATAGAAATAATCATTCTTCTGAAGGGCGTACAACTCCTAACTCGCCAACTTAGACAAAGGAGACGACGTCGGTCATCTACGTATGCCTTACTTCAAATGAATTTATCCTTCAGGTCGAAATATTGCCATTGTCAATCTGGATTTTGGGTCCGGGCAGTAAATGGTGAGCTGGAAGTCACGTCTATTAAAACCTTGCATGACCATCCTTGCACAGAAGGATATATTTCTATCGATTCATCGAGACGACAGTTGACGTCAAGTGAACGCTTGTATTTAAGAACGTTTCTACTGAGTAATACACCAACTCGTAGCTTACGGCATATGGTTTCTTGGAAGTTCCATAAACAGCTTACCAAGGACGATATCGCCAAAATCCGTTCGCAGTTATACCAAGGTTGTTGAACTCACATTGTAATTAACTGATTTTAGACACTAAAAATATCCATGACATCTTACAGCGTGTTCAAGCGAACACGTATTCAATGAAAATGAGAACATATCTATGATTTGCTTCAGCCGCAGAGAGCAAATAGCTGCTTACCACACGTTCTCGGAGGTAATATGTACTGATTCGACTTATCAGACCAACAAAGTTGGGTAAGTAACGATTAGTAATAAATTTATCTTAAAGTTTTCCACTGTTCCAGCTAGTGGTGACTGATAGTCTTGGGCAAGGGCACACTGTTATGTATGCTCTTTGCAGTCAAAAACGACGCGATGTCGAAAAAGTATTGGAATGCTTTAAAGAGATAATGTGCGGTACTTGTGATACACTCACTTTCATTATGGATTCGGCAGCGACCGGAATTTCAGCTGTGCAGTCTACGCACAGTCATTCTAACATAATACTTTGTTCATTCCATGTCTTAAGAGCATTTCTCAGGAAGGTGTGTGTTAGCTGTGCAAATTATTTTCTGTAGTTCCGAAATCCTGATGTACGCAAGTGCTTGGAGCAGCTTGTGAAGACGTATTTCGACATAGCAACCGCTGGACTAGGAAATGCATAATGGACCTGGTTCTTCGTGCACTGAACGACATGTCAATCTCTACAGGGAGTGATGATCTGCTAGAGTTCACTAACAACTACCACTCAATCCATGCTCTTAGTGAACCTTTGGCAAGTAAACTCATCCGTTCATGCCTCGAAGCATCGGAAGACACATGCGCACAAGTGATGAGTTCGATCGGTGCTAATGATGAAGCTACAACGTCAGAGTCCAGTGTTAACACAGACCATAGCTATGCTTCTTGATAACAAGAAGTTCTAATATCGTAATCTTTTTAGTTTTACATAAATTCATTTATATGGTCATTAACTTATTCTTATAGCGAAACGGCAGGGAGAGTGTACTGTGCAGTATTATATGGCTGTGAGACAGGGATGTTGTTTCGCGTTGTTGTGTAATAATTATCAGTTTGACGCACACCGTTTACTAAATACTGCAACCTTAAACATGGTGTACCATACTAGTAGTTCGAATTTCGACCTGTCACGATAGATAAGCATTTTCGTAATTAAAAGACTGATGCGTTATAAATGAAAACATTTATTAAAGTTTAAATCTAGCACAAACGATCCATTAATAAATAACTTCTTTTTCTTAGGAATTGTCCCAGTTAGGTCTGTGAAAACTTGCGAAGCCAGCTGGAAATAAGATGAACAGGAAATAGTTATTGCAGTATGTTTACCAGAAACTAGTATAAAAACAGAAACCGGTATCCAATTACAAATCAAAAGTGCATTTAGCACATCCATTCTTTGGATAGTCAACCACGCCTATTGGCTTTATCTCTTGCGCTACTTACGAAAGCCTGGATCACAACATACATAGCTTGCATTATTTAGTTCTTTGGACAGGTTGCACATCGAAAACCTAAACAGTGAACATATATAAAGACTACTATATGAAATTCGAATCGTCCTGTGCAATCTGTAATTGCTGATGCCCATTTTATTTCAGTCCCACGTAAGGTATAAGTAATCGTCATTTCCGGCATCAGCACGTAAGCTAAACAGGCCTTGGTTGATTTTCGAAGATCATCACATACGACTTCAGACAGTCTGGTCACATGAGATCAAGATATCTTGATTATCGAACCGTGCTTTTCAATTCTTTTTCGTAACCACTTTATAATAGTACTTATTTCTGCTATTAGGTATCTTTGCAAGAATACCACAAACTCCCAACTTTGGGGAAATCCCCAAAGTTAAATAGCCTTCCCCAAAGTTTGGGGTTTTCGTGCCATTTCCCATAGCGGCTTCCCCAAAATGAGCCAAATTATACACAAGATTAGGAGCTTGGGACCGGCAGCCAAAACACTGTAACTCTGCACAAGATGTAGTAAAGCTACCTTAGATTGATCTCTGGTAAAATCTTCACATAATTACACCTCTTCCGCATGGTTATAATTTATTTCCTGCAATATAATAATTCGGTGGCTAATATATCTAACTGTAGAAGGTGATATCGACATTATGGTATGTGTTATTATGATTGTAGCGGTAAATAAATCCCCAAAATAGATAGCTCTGTAAGTTTTCGACATTGGATGCTGACCAAATGTTTTAGTGCACTCATCTAGCTGAAGGCGCCCCGTCAGGCATCCGCACCAGATCACGTGTGGGAACGCCGTGCTCAACATCTACCGCAATCGCTAACCAGATTAGATCAGAAAATTCCGACATACTGGTTATGCCAAATACACTCTTCCGATCTCCTCGACTCTGTTTTTCGATTTCTCTTGGTGGGTACGAATTATATTCGAAAGTGTCGCTGGTAAAAGCGTTGTCAAACACTGAATACCTGTGTCATACTTCATCATCTATAGCATATACATAATATTTACAACACTCGGGACACCTAATGTTTTCATTATCAACCTATTTCTGCTATAAAAGTAGAACAAAACAGTGAAAATCAGCCAAAATTGTGATAAA